ACTGTGGATCGGTGGGGAGCGGGCGCGCTCTCCCAGGCGGGATGCGCTCCCTGCATGGTCCTGCTTCACTGCTTCAGGTGCCTCGGTTCTCCTACCCAGAGTACTCTCCGGACAACCCTAAGCCCTCCCGCCAACGCGGCCGCCAGTTTCCCCTCCCCTTGGCACTGCTAGGCTTTAACTTTGCGCCTTGTCTTTGCTGGCGGCGGCTTGTTGCCGGGAGGCGCAGTGGGCAGTGGCGGCTCCCGCTGCGCAGCCGGGGGAGGTGAGGGGCCCGGGGCCCGGCGCGGGAGGCGGCAGTGAGCGACGCTGGCTTCAGTTAGCTGTGCCGGCGGGGGGCTGCGCAAGGCTGCGGCCGCAGCGGAGGCCGGGGTGGAGGAGGCCGGGGAGGGGTGATGCTGGTGTTCAATGTGGCCGTGCAGCTCCCCGGGGAGCGCCTGAAAGGACAGTGCGCTCACCAGCTGACAGCGCGTGCTCCGCTCCAGACGCTCCGCACCGCGGCCAGGAGCCGCTGCCAACCCCTCTATTGTCAGCCGTGCTCTAATTAAGAAACACTCACATTACCGAACCACCCCCACGCTTCTTGGTTCCTGTCCTTTTCTTTATCTTCCTCCGACTCCTCTCCTCCCCTGAGTCCCGGGATTTAACCCGTTCTCCTCCCATTTCTCCAGTACGGGAACTCTGCTCTGCCTTAGGGGTAAGAACTGCTGTCTGGAGGGAGAGTGAAAATCAGCTTTGCGAAGCCCTCATCCCTTGCGTCCTACCTGAAAGGACAAAAACAATAGAAAACAGCTGAACTGCCACTAGTCGCCTTGAACTCTGCCCAGCATTCATGCTGGCCCGGCTAGACTGCAATGGACAAGCTAGTAACTGACACGTGAATCTTGTTACTTTTCCTCTTCATTCTTGCTCAGGGTTTGGAACAGTCAAGGTGAAACTGATCATATTTTTCGTGAACTTCTAAGATCTCTAGTACAAAGATCATTTTGATTCCGGTTTGAATTTGTCCTGAAAGTCTCTGTCATGCATTGGTTAAGATGAAGAAAGCTAGCTCTCTCCTCTCCCCCCACTCCACCCCGCCCCTTTTCTGATCTAACTGGACCCTTGGTTAGCAATATCCCATAGAGACTATTGCCAAAGTAATAATAATAATAATAATAATAACCTTTCTTCAACTCTGCAATAAATCAGATGAGTTTCCCAAAGTGTAGGCAGCCAAAATTTTCAACAACAGAATTGTTGGTGGGGCTGGAAGCAAACTCAGAATATAAAGCAAGCTGCTTAAAGCGTATAAAACTAGAAAGTGTCACGAAGGTCCAAACCGATTTATCTATCTTCATTACTTGAAGAAATGCTGCCTCTTTGTTTGTTTGGGTGATATTAAGCATGCTTAACTTGCGCACATAGTTGATGCCTTTGCTAGTATCTTGGATACTTGGATCTGACTTTGGAAGGTAGAAGCTAATTGCTAATAATGGAGAGAAAGGAACCAGTCAGCATGGCAGGAGTGGTCTGGCATATGGGGAATGAGCGCTCAGAAATACTCAATATTCAAGTTTCCAAAATATTAATGAGATTATAGCAACCTGCAGCTATATGTTACAGCTTGTTAATGGAGTGTAAGAGACTGAGCCGCCAAACGTTTGTTATGCAAACTCCGTAGCAGAACCTTAAGATGGAAATGTGATTGTACATCTCTTTCAAAGAAATGTCAGCATAAAAGAGAGAGTGAGAGAGAGAGAGAGAGAAATAGAATGAAGGAAAGAAAAGAGGTTAAAGTTCTCATTTGAACTTTGAGCACTCAATTTACCACAAAGTGATTTGACTTTTTGTGCTCCTTCTGATGGGTTAGGACAACTCATCCTTGCTTTTCAATCAGCAGCGTGAAGCAGAATTTTCCATATGATATCTGTTAGGCTTGATTTACTCTTGAGAAGCAGCATGAAAAACTTTTGTGAGTAAAGCTGGGGTTCTTTCCAGTTTCAGTACAAAACCAAAAGCATCTAAAAATTTACATATCTGTCTCTTATGGTGGCACTACCCCTTTCCCCCTCAAGTTTGGATGCTCAATTTCTGTCAATTTATTTTCTCAGAGAAAAATATATGCAGCACCACCCTGGTGGAACGGGTTTGGAAACTGTCACCATCTAGCTGCGTGGCTTCGTGGTGAATAAAGGGCAATCATTTCTCATCTATCAAAAAGGTAAAGGGAGATGCTTCTGGTGTTCTTTCTGTTTTGCAATGTTTATGCATCCATGAGAAGCAATAATTTTGACCAGTTTTTTTCCTCTTTAGTGACACAAGATGAACATAAATCATTTTTTTTTAAGTGAAAGACCTTATTTTCTTTGCCTTCTCCTCTGTCACAACGTTTTCTCTTCCTCCTGTCCTGTCCTTACACAGATTTATAACAAAATGATTCTGGCTCATCTTCCTTTTCTCTCCTGCACTTTCACGCAAGCACGCTCACTCTGCGTGGGGGCTCTGTGTCCACACCTGTTGGGTCTGCTTGTTGAGAGAGAATGGAAATGTGTCTGAAGCCATCGCTTCATTTATTCAGTAGGTTGAAGATTCCCTGATGCTTATCATAGCACAACAAACTCCGTGGGTGCAAAAGTTTATCTATGGGACAGGTGCATTGCTCTTGCTCCTGGAAAGTGTTGTGAGCTGGGGTGCCGTTCAGCTCTCCAAGAGAGCTGGCCAGGCTCTCGGCTTCCTTTGATCTACTTTGCTGAAAGCCACTGATACCCTGGTGTTCTGCTAAGGGCAAGGTCTGGGATTTCCTCTTGAAGAACACAGTTTGGACACCCTAACATCTTACTTGCTCTACAAACCCAATTTGTGGCACACACCTCTTTTCAAGGGTGTGGAAGCAGAGCACAGCAGCAATGCAACCAAAGTCCCTTCCCTTTGTGTGTGTGTCCTTCCCTCTGAAGTTCGTTATCCCAGAGAATATGGAAAACAAAGATTTGTCTTAAAACAAAACTTTCCAATTTGGTGATGTTTCTCCTGTCAAATGGCACTGAACCTTCACTAAATAGTTCTACCCTGAGATTTGCCAACCAAATATCTTTCTAAAAATCCTGTCTCAACTCTGTCTAAGTGTAGACATTTGCATTTGCTTTTCCCAGATCTACCGTCCTGATTGAACAGCCAGAATAGGTGCTTTAGTTCCTCGGTAAGGATACCTGGGGCATCAGTGAGAGCAGCAAGGTTCTGCCCACTGGTTCAAAAATGTGGTTGAATATTTTCTAAAGAGTAGCTGTTTCATATGAACTAAACACACATTCACTTGTACATTGGAGAAAGCAGGATTGTTTGAAAACAGAAAATTGAGTGAAAGCCAAGAATTTGCTAGAGCTTCTGTTTTAGGTTGAATTCACTTGTACCAGTTTCCCTCTCCCCCTCAAGGTCTTTTCCATTGTCCTCTTTCCCTTTTAGGGCTGCTCTCCTTCGTGGAGAGAAAAAGAGGGAGGGAGGCAAGGAAGGGAGATAGGGAGGAGAGAAAGAGAAGGAGAGGGAGAAAGAGAGAGAGAGAGAGAGAGAGAGAGAGAGAGAGAGAGAGAGAGAGAGAAGAAAAGCTTGCAGGCTGTATTATTTTATCCAGGGAAAGAGCTAACATGGTAAAGTCAACTACTCTTGGCTAGATCCTGGGTGATCTGAAACATTTGCCTGCTCCTGCAAGAGATTGTTGGAGCTGGGAGTAGGAAGATTAGAAAGAAAAGTTTAGTCTCACAGCTTAACTATTTTCTTGAGAGCTTTTCTGAGCCAGGCTTGTAATGCCAACTGAAGGCGTCAAGTCTACAATGCTTTTCTTCAAATTTATTGGATTGGATAAATTCATATTTAAGTAAAAGACTTCAGGTCTTTAAACTCAAGTTTACAGTGCTTACATGTGTTCAGTGGTTATAATGGGAATGAAATAATCAACAAATAAATGTTAATTTTTCATGTTTATTGTTGTTACTTGCAAAAGGAAATACATAAAACAATGGCAGTTGGCTTTGCTAGGTTAAAATAAATTGATCTCAAATAGAAAATGTAAAAAATTGAATCAAGGCAAGTAGAAACGGTAGCAAACACTCAATAATAAATAAGTTGTTCTAACATCAACAAGGCAAAATGAAATTAATCCAATGCTTTTGACACAACCCGATGTGTTTTTCATTTTAAAAAACTAGCATTTGCAAAGAGCTTAAGGATTATAAGTGGCCGTGTTTAAACATAAAAAAAAAAAAAAACAAAAAACAGAGCAACGGGTCTGCAATTGGCAGTTGAGTTTCCCTTGGATTTGAAGTAGCAGCAGCGGCAGCGGCAGCAGCGGCGGCTGATAAAGTGCGTGCCCCAAGCTTCCTAACAGATGCCTGCAGCGTCCTCGCCATCCACGGACCGACTGACTTCCCTTCTGCCATATAGAAACCCTCAAGTTCCCTGTTTTCTGATCGTCCCACAGTCACGGGTTATTCACCTGGGAAGAATTTACATTGTCTTACCGAAGTCCTAGAAGACTTCCCACCCCCTTCCCACCACCCCTCTCCCCCAAATGAAGGAGCGAAACATACACTGGTGCATGCCCAGGGCACAAAATTAAGTATACCCAAACCAGCGACAGAAGGGAGCTGCAAGGGTTTTGTTTTTTGTTTTCGGGGAGTTCCCCCCCCCCCCCCCCCCCCGCCTTTGCAGCAGATTGGCAGCAGGGAACTAGAGTAAGTGTGTGATATCTGGTACGGGTAATCGGACAGGAGCGCAAAGTGGGCGGGAAGGCGACACTTTCACAGCCAGTTTTCATCATCAAACAACGCAGACCGCAGGAAGTTTGGAATACGCGGTGGCATTTGCAAACCGTCCAATGTAGCTGCCATCTGAAGCCAAGTCGTTGCTAAACAACGACCGTCGCAGAGCAAAAATCAAAGGATGCGGGGGATCTTGAACCGCGGGGCTTCCCGCGCACAGAGAGAGGGCGGTTTTGTTTCTGCCTCTGTTTCCAGGCTTCTGTCACCTTCCTAACTCGCCTCATCCGAGTCACTGTAATGGGAATGGGGGGAAAACTCGCCGTCGCTTCTGTGGGAGCGGGGCGAGGTTTTGCTACTTTCCTCTGCCACAGCTGGTAGGATGCCGCCGGGCAGTGAGGGCGACAAATTCTTTTGCGCCATCATCGCCGTTAACGCACTGTCCTCGAAAGCAGAGAAGTGCAGAGCGTCCAGCTGAACCGTGTACCCGCCTGCTGACGCCTGGCTAGAGAAGCGAGTCCGGCAGCTCCCAGGCGGGGTCGGTCGTGGACCCCCTCCGGAGCCCGGGGGCACCCCAGCCGCAGTGGCTGGACCCACGCCGCTCTCGTAGGAGGCGCCGGCACGCAGGTGGTGGTGGTCACTTTTGCAAGATGCCGGAGGCGGAGGTGGCGGCGGCGCCGTTTGCTCCCCGCCATTGGGCGTCTGCAGCAGCTCGGACAGGGCATTGATGTAGATCTGGGCCATTTGCAGGGTTTCGTACTTGGACAGCTTCTTGTCGTTGTTGAAAGACGGGATAACGTTGCGCAGCTGGTCGAAGGCGTGGTTCAGCCCGTGCATCCTGCGCCGCTCCCTGGCGTTTGCCGCCAGCCGTCGCTGCTTCTGCACCCCATTCACCTGCTTACTGGAAGGGGCCCGTTGGCGGCTGCAGCCCAGCTCCTCCACCACCACCCCGCCTTTCAGCTTGCACAGCTGTTCCCGCACCTTCACGGGTCCCGGGCTCTTGCTGCTGCCACCTCCGCTCCTCCTGGCCAGCTCCCCGCGGGCATCCGCCTCGTCCCGTGGCACCGCGGCCTCAGAGGCACCCAAGTCCGGGGAATGCAGCAGGTACTGGGCTGCGCGGGTCGTGCAGATGCCCTGCAAAGTGGGAGCCAGCCAGGCGCGTGGGTCGGTGCTGTTCAGGAGGGACAGCTCGGTTGGGTAGATCGAGTGCTCTCTGGCCTGCAGGGCTGCAGGTGGCTGAGGCGGCGGCGAGAGATGGTGCGGTTGGGGATGGCGATGGTGGTTCCCCAACTCCTTCACTTCAGCCCACTCTTCTGCATGCAGCAGGCGGGACATTGCAAGGCACACGCTTGGAAAGGTGCTGGGTCGGAGGAGGCACCAGCAAACCAGTTCCAGTCAGTAACAACTTAAAAATAAAAAGCTATTTTAAAAATACCCCCACAAAGCTCCGCAACCCTAGCAGGGATTCTTCGGCCACGTCTTCTTCGGTTCCCCTCCTCGAACTTCCCCCACCCACTAGGAGATCACACACCAGGTCGCGTGCAACGAAGCTTCTCCGGTTGCCGAAAGCGCTGCGCCCCTTTAAAAAGCGGCACGCGCCAGTGTGTGTTGCCCCCGCTCCTCTCCCAGCCCCCTCCTCGCGCCAGTCGCGTGTCAGCTCAGCCAATGAAGGGCGCGGGCCGGCGCGTGCGAGCAGCCAATCAAAGACTTTTTACACCCGGGAAAAGTTCCTGGGCGCGGAGGCCGCCCGCCCGCGCCCGCTCAGCTTTTTTTTTTTTCTTTCCTGCTTCCCTCTGTTCTGTCCGTCAAATTCATATGTTAATTGCGGCCCTGAAATTCGACTCCGCAGTATGTCACTGCTCCTAAGGCGGGACAGGGGTGTCCGAGAGGAGCCCAGTCTGGTTGGACCCTGGAGGCGCCTTGAGCGCACCTGCCCCTCACGGCTCCCGACCTGGGAATGGCAGCCCCCCACCGTGCATGTGCAAACGTTAAAAATTGCTCCTGCAGGTTACATGATTATGTTCATGTATCATCTGACATACGTGGATATGTCACTACTCAATAACGCCTCTTGTGTTAAAAAAAAAAGCCCAAACGTAACAAACAAGTAAAAGGGGGGACAAGCCACCCTGCACGCACCCCTTGGATGTTTCTAGGTTTTGCTGCATCTTTTCCCTCTCATCTTGCTCCGGATCTCTTAGTTCCACTTTCTTATGTAATCATTCCTTTTCTGAACGGTAGGAAGGCTGTGAGAACATCAGCCAGGGTGCACTGAATTCCAGATGTTCTAGCTCTCTTGGAGCCTCCTTTCCATTTCTCGTTCCCCCGCCGCCCACCCTAGGCCAGTTGGGATTGGCACCTGCAGAAAGCATTAGGCTGAGAGCTCACGGTTTGGGGGCAGGGGTATCTCCTAATATTTGTCAAAAGTTTCAGCACACACAGCAGGACTCCTAACTAAACGTACAGTCAGGGCCTGGTGCCCAAAGGAAAATGAAGGCTCCCGCGCCGTGTCCAATTCTGAACTTTAAGTGTGCTTCTGGAGCCTTCTGCCGCCAGGTGCCCTTGCTTTACCGTGCGTGTGGCTTCTTAGGCAAACATCCAGAAACCACAGCCCAACTCACCCCACCTCCTGCATTAAGTTAGGGTGTGCACTGCCCGGGGAGGTCCCTGGCGCAGCCAACTCCCAGGAGAGCACCCTCCGCCCTCCGCCCTCCTCATTAGCCTCGGCCATGTCTGTGAGTGCACAGTGCAGGGCCAAACCCAGGTCTCCGTGCCCCAGGCACGCCCCGGCTTGCGTCTGGCGTGCTCCAGCTCCAGGCGCGCTCCGTGGCCTGGCCCTGTCGCTGGGGCGCAGGAGTGGGACACCACTAGTGCAAGAGGCTTTTCTTTCGGGGTTTCGAGGGAGGGTGGGGGTGACTGTCATCCTGCGGGGGATTTCTGGGACAGATGCTTAACAACGGGCAGATACTGTTAGGGGCCTGTCTTTGCCATGTCCACAGCCGGCTGAAAATTCTTATTATTAGTAATGTCTTTCCAGCGACTTGATCAAACCTACTGTAGAGCGCCTTGAATAGAAAAATATTGGCCACTGCACTGGATTAGTGATTAATATTCATATGCATATTCATATTCTCTCCCCCCTCCCTCCTTTCCTCCCTCTCTCCCTGGATCAGTCTCCTGTTCATTGTCTCCCATAAAGGTTCCCAAACATTGAACAGAGTGCTGAAATGATGTTTAAAGTGCTTTTTTTCATCTGTAGCTTCTCTGAGTTTGCTACTGATTTGGTCTTGGGCTCTCCCACCTTAAAAGCCAGAAAACACCGAGCTGGCTTCTTACATGGGTGTTCAGGCTCTGTTGAAATAAGCATGTTAAATAAAGATATGACAAACAAACAACAGTTCCCAACTTAATCTGAGAACTGTAGATGAGAATAAAGTAAAAAGAAAAGTCATGCGGGCTTTTTGCAAGGAGCAAAGTCTCCTCCGCATGTTGTGGATGGTTAGACTGTGTGTTCTTGAAATCAGTGGATTATTCTGCTATTCTAAATAGTGCCTCTATCTTGGATCTCCTACTTCACAAAATAGTTACTGACTGTGGCAATCAAAATGGAGCTTTTCAAAAAATGATTGGCCAAGCCCTACCTATGACTGACGGCGTAGGCAGCGCAAGCCGGAAGTATCTACATGGCATCTTATTTCTCACCCATTGACTTTTCCCAGCAAGAGCAGCTGAAAGTTACTCCTGGGTTGTGTTCCCACATAATTACCAGAGGATTGGGATACTCCAATTTCCCCTGGGTTTACAGCATCAGGACTTTAAAAACTTTTTTTCTGTTTGGCCATAGAACTACACAGTTTTCATTTGCCTTTGAGCTTAACCAGTCTTATGAACTGTAGCCAACATACACAGAATGTTGTTTCTAATTTGCCAGCTTAAGTAGATACTCATTAATGGTTTTACTTTTTTTTTTTTTCTGAAGCAAACATCAACTTTTAGAATGTCCTGAGAAGGCGAGGGACAGCAAGGGTTTTGTGGTTTATAGTGAAGTAGATTTGTCTGGGCCTTGAAATAAACAGGAGCTGTTTCACTTTCTCTTCCATTTCCTTTTCTTTTGCTCCTCTTGCATTTGATAGGGCTGAGGAAGTTGGCATCTGAGCTGGGAAGGGGCACACGGCCCTATGCACAGGGTTGGAGCCTGAATGGTGCGGGCAGGGCCCCCTCAGGAGGATTTGTGGCATGGGATGTCAAAACAACAAGTGGAGCAATGGCTGTGAGCTGGCTGGTGGCAGTGGCAGCCCAGCATGAGGTGGTCTGGTTCAGGCAGTGAGGTGGCCCTCTGTGTTGGGGGGAGGGGGAGGGAGGGGAGCCGGATTAGTTACATAATGGGAGGATTGATGGAAAAAGCAAATATTTGAGAATGGTGACAATAGGTTTCTCACTGTCAGAGAAGGGGATTACAAATACGCACATGGAGGGAACTGTGGTGTTGGATTTGATTGGAGATGTGACTATGAAGGCATGGCTTATCCTACACGAATTAGTTATGTCAAAATCAACATAGATATAAATGTGGGAGTGCATATTTATGCTTTTTAGCTCTTTTCACTCTCAGGGCCTGGGGTTAACATAGCGTTCAAACTCCCAGATTTTAGCTTCTGATTTTCCCATTTAAAAAAATTTATTAAATACATTATTTTATTTACTAATAAAAACAAGTGGCATGATAAAATATTGTTTTAAAGAGAATTCTTGGAAACATGGATTGCTTATAGGGCTGGAGTAGAAAGAACATAAGAGGAATCAAAAACATCTCCTAGCAGGTGAAGAAAATGTTCAAGAACGATGAAGAAATAGCTCTGAAGCAGCTTCCAATGAGAACAGTTGGGTACCTAAGCAAGTAAAGTAACGATAATAGCAGATTACCTACCTAGATCATTAAAGCAACCCACGAATCTTCATTAATACAAGCAGCTTAAATGGAGGCACTGAGGTTTGGTAAATGCTCATTAGTTACAAATGAAAGAAGACTGAATTATGGAGATGTGTGCAGACATCAACTTAATCATATGATGAGAGCTAACAACACTGGCAATGGGACAAAGCAAATTCATGCATCGTTTGTTGTGATGCAGAGGGCACAGCCTCATCACTTCTGTGATGTAATCCTGCCAAATTCACACATTACAAATCCATTCAAAAGTGAACACAAATCTCAATGGAGAGATGGTCTAAAAAAAATACCATCCTGTAGTTTTTAAGAATTTCCAGATACAGAAAGGCAAATAAAGTCTCCGGAACTATCCTAGCCTTAGAGGAAGATGATAGTGATATGATGATAAATCTCAATGTCTTCGTTTAAAATGGGTCTTTTGCTAACGAGAAGCATCAGTGCCACAATTGAAAAACCATATGACGTCTGGTAAATAAATGATAAAAAGTAAATTTACTGATTTTTGATAGTTATATGGAAATGTTATTTGAAAGCATGTCTTCATTTTTAAGGACCACTCACAAGAGTATTTAGGGATATTTGGGCAGCTTACGCTAACATTTTTATGGAAACTTTCTTTTTGCCATACTTGTAGTTTTTCTCTAAGTTTGAGAACAAGTTTTATTTTAAAAAATAATTATCTTTTATGTATTTGAAAGTCAGCATTGCAAAGAAAGGAGAGACAGAGTCTTCCAAATGCCAGTTCACTCCCTAAAAGGCTGCAGTGGCTGGGGCTGGACCAATCAGGAGTCAGGAACCTGGGGTCCTTTGGGGTCTTTCATTTGGGTGCAGGGAACCCAGCACTTGGACAATCCTCCACTGCTTTCCCAGGTACTTTAGCAGGGAACTGGATGGGAAGTGGAGCAGTTGGGACTTGAACTGGTACCCACGTGGGATGCTAGTGTCAGAAAAGGAGGCTTCACCTACTACACAATACTGCCCCCTGAGGACAAGCTGGAATGGCTATTCCCATTAGTATTTCTTTAGAGGTGCTAAGAAATTGAATATTAGTTTGAAATGCATTGTTTTATAGGTTACTTAAGAATTTCTAAGTCATGAGTAATTACCTTAAGGAATGTTCTGATCAGACCACAAACATTAATAAGCAATTAACACAATCGTAAGACATAGTGTCAAATGCAGTGTGTAGGCCATGTTTGGATTCAGACTCAATGAATCAATGAACAACAGTTTATAAAACTGCGTATTAAATCAGTATTACTTAATACCAATGAGGTATTGCTAATTTTTTGGCCCTATAAGGGCAATGTTATTTAAGAGGCTGGTGGCTCATTCAGGAGCATTTGGGGTAAAATAACAAAGGTTTAGGATTGTCTTTAAAGCG